CCAAAATTATTACGATACTTATATTAACAAGTTATAATGTATTCGATTCACGGGCATAGGCGGTTTAAATATTTAAATAAATATATATGTATGATTCTGAATGAATCTATTTAACGCAGAACACCATATCCCATTTATAATCAGTGAACAATAAACGAGTATCGTCTGCATGTGTAACAATGGGGCCATTAATTTTCATGTTACATACATTGTTAGTACATATAATAAACAAAACGGGGCTACGAACACTGTCTTGTGTTGCCTACGCCGCAGTTTATACGAAACTCGTGACTTGTACAAGAATTTACTAATACATATTGTGTACTATTTTCGAGATGGCTTGAAAACCGTTTAAAACTTTCACTGGCAAATCTGACATAGCAATTAATAATTATGAACGAAATTGTCGAAGGCGTTTGTAAAATCCGAAAATCTGCAACAGCTTTTCGACTGTCATCAAACGGACAATATATGTATTTTAAACTCATTATAAAGTGCATCAATAGTTCTTTGTCCTTTTCTAACACTAAATGTAATTGTTTGAGTAACAGTTTTTTGTTTTGTAAAGATGTAATGAATCTATTCTTTATTATATAAAATAAAACTTTTGCGAAAATACGAATTATTTATGCGGGTCTATAGTTTCCCGTGGTTGGTTTTTCGCCTTTTTTGAAAATAGGTTTAACGATTACAACTTGTTGAAAAAATATCTTCTTCTGAAATTTTATTATAAATAGTAATTAATGAATCTAAGATATGAGATAAAATGTGTTTTACTGAAATTGTATTGAATCCTGCTACAGTATCCTTTTTTTGAGAGGTCAACAATAAATTTTTCTTTTTCTAGATCTTTGGTAAATAATATAACTGATTTCGTTTAGACATTGAGAGCAGCTAATCCATCGAGTCATCTTTCTGAAGTGGAATTTCTTGAATCAATTATTGAATTTTGTCAAACATTTCTATTATTTTAGAAAGATATGACACGGTCAAGGGATGGGGATGTTTGGACTTGGAAGACTGGCTTCCACTGGCTGCGCATCATTGTCACACGCAGAATTTTTACGCTTGATAACGTGTTAATCGTCTCTCGGTTTTTTTTTTTTTTTTTTTTAAATCTAAAAGCAACAAAACGTGTTTACACGTTTCGGCTCAGCTGTTGCGTAATACAAACGTCAATCGACGATGTCGTCCGGTTTCGGCGAACGGTCCACCCCGCGGCGGTACATTATGTATGCGGTTATACCGCACTGCGATCTGGTCCGTCCGATTAGTCGATACATATTTTACGCATCCGTACACCGAGTGAAATAGTTGCGATCCTGAACGATCGTTCTGCGTCTGCTCATGAATATTCACGTTTTCCGCGGACAATAACGCGCGCATATGCGATACCCGTCCAGATTGTTCGAGCGCGCAGGAAATGGGTATCGATTTCGGACATCGGTAGTCCAGGCTCGCAAAAACGCGGCTCGTTTCACCGATGTCATACGGAACCCAACACCCCCGGATCTGTTGAGAATTTTGCGAACACAATTAATTTTCCGCCTACCCCAACGGCCGTGATTGATCTAAACGAATTATCATGAGTTTCACACACACACACACACGTGCGTCTTACAGTTCGAGCGCAAAACGAATCCATAATCTTTGGGGGGCGAATTTTTTAAGAAAAATTACGCTTTAGCGGTTCATTGTATTCTGTTTCGAGAATGTTTCGTTGCTGAAGAGGAAAAATATGCTTTTTAATATAGTACCTGTCGTTTTGTTAAATGTGATCTATGAGTACACCGAGGACGGGTTCGGGAGGGGTCGAAGGAGCGGTGTCGCTCATCGTTCATCGGGTCTAAGGTTGCATTTTTCCTAAACATATGGTTAACGCGCTCGAAAAATGGTTCTTTTTAAATATTAATGCTGAAACGTCAACGAGGAATCGTCACGCAATGAACTGGATGTTTTTGGACACAGTAATCCGGATAGTAAATGCACCCGAACGAAGGCCACCGGTTCGCACGTCCGGGTCCGTGTTATCTTGAAATAAAAATAACCGACGACGTTTTTGTTTTGCGCTCGCGTAAGTTTTCAATAGGTTTGTTAAAAATTCAAAATCTCAATTCCCACTGGGTTGGTCCACAACAGTCTCCAAGACGATGCGCGTTTTCCTCCGAACCGTACGAAATCATGTTCCAACACGTACGCGCACGCATGAATATTATGATTAGGGGTGCACCTAGTTTGCGCACATTTACTTAAATTACAACTCGTTTGCGCAATGAATATTTCTAGTGCAACCACTCGTTTGCGCACAGATTATTTCTAAAGCAACCACTCGTTCGCGCACACAATTATGGATAAATCCGTTATTTTCGACAAAACCATTGTATTTTTATTTTGTTTCGAAACCTTCAAAGCGGTTATTGGTTATCAATATAATATGTCTACAAAATGTTGTGCGCTATCGAGTTGTTCCTTCTATAATATGTTGTGCGCAAACGAGTGGTACCTTCTACAATAATTTGTGTGCAAACGAGTTCCAGGTTTTAACTGAACAATTTTAAAATGTGCGCAAACTAGCTGTAGCCTATGATTAGAGCCCACGGCTGTGATCGAAACGCCGCGGATGCGTTTACCGATCGTGATATTTTAACGGGCCGGCGAGCGTAACGCAACAACGTCCTAAACGTGGTAGATACGCTCACTGTGCGTTTATTTATTTTTTCTCTGCCTCGTTCGTGCGCAAAGCGCAAGATGCCGGACGATTTATTAAAAACCGAAGCACTCTTGAACCACCGACGGTCCGATTATCGTTTCCGTCGAACCGCGTTCGCTACGTGCGCCCGGCACAGACTGACGAGTTCGAGAACAATAACAACAATGATTTTATGCCCGGTTTTTTCAAGCGTTTGCAACCGAAACAATAATGTCCGCGACAGGGGTGGCGAGCCTATTGACCGAGTTTCAATGGTACGCGCAAAAAATTGAAATTATTAAAAATTGTAAACAAGAAATTTTTTTTTTAATATTTATAAAATGTTGGTTGTAAGAAATTCAAAGAAACAAATGACACATATTTTGAAAACGACAATATTCCTTATGCTTTGGTATTCTTTGCCGACTTACGTTTGTGAAAGCTTATTCGCCTTAAATAAATCAACTAAATCGAAGGAGGGAAATGTATTGATCGATGAAACGATTGCTGCTTTTGTCTGTTTTTTCTTTTGTTTCGCTAAGAACGACTAAATTGTAATTAAAATAATGTAATAAATCTGTAATTTTACTTTTATTCCTAGAAAGCATAATTTTCTTTGGGCACGTGAACGGCTTACCACACCTCTGGTTAGATTAACATAACATTTAGGTATAATAATAATAATAGAACGATAATAATAATAATAATACAATAGAATCCGTTTAAGACGCTCTGGCTTAATAAAATTTCCTGCGTAATACGCTCATTTCCACGAGTCCCCTTATTTTGAAAGCGGTTAACATGTAAATGTCTCCGGATAAGACGCTCGATGTCAATGATGTAATGTAGTATAAAATGAATAATCACACTATCAAATGAATGATGATTTTCAAGACTTAAAAATTTCCTGGGTATGCAGAAATAGATGATGATATCGCTACGAGTAGCCTTAGGAGTATTGATCAGATAGTTACTGATAATGTTTCATCTGCTGATGTCAGTACTAAAGAGAAAGAAAGTGAAGAGGATGAAGTGGACGACACCAATTCTCCCCGTAACAAATGCACTTGATTATGCACACCAACCAAGACGATTAATTTCATATTTTGGCAATGCAGGTGAAACATTACAAAACCTCTTAATAAAGTCGAAAAACTTCTTCTAATAAAAAAGTACTGAAAATTCAAAACAAACGAAAATTGATAATTTTTTTTTTAATGCAAAACGAAGTATGCGATTTATAGGCGCGTGTAAATGTAAATTTTAATATGATATAATGATAATAACGATAGTACGTAGTTTTAAATAATAAAAATAAAATGTAATAATAATTATACACGTATTGTAATTATTATATAATATAAATGCAATTTTATAATAAAAAAAAATTCGTGATTTAACGTACAATTATAATCCGTCAACATTTGGGTTTTTCCGATTTCTCGTTGAAATCGTTCTGGTTTTTACCCGGTCCATCGGAAAACGTTTTGAACGGATTCCACTGTATATCAATAATAACAATAATAATAATTGTACGTTTAAGGATAATCAATGCACTAACCCAACCACGTGAGCCACTTCAACATGTCCGGCAGTATCGTCGTTTGAGGCACGAACGGCGTGATCAGGTAGACGACGAAGAAGAACAGCCAGCATGCTATGAAGCCGCCCACCACGATCGACAGCGTCTGGGCGGTCTTGTTCTCGCGCTTCAGCGACACCCGGCAATCGTCACCTCTGCGCAAGCTGCGGGCAACCGGTGGCCGGGAAAACGCGACGTTATTTACGATATTCAAAAATCATTTACCGTTGGGCGCGGATCGGCGTCGATCGTCGATCATCGATCGTCGACTGCCGGTCTCGCGCTGTTTACCTGATGCGCACGATCTCGTCCATTTCCACCGGCGGCCTCTCCATCGACTCGTGGCTGTACCGCGATATCTGGAAAACACGAAAACGGAAAACCTGTACTAACGATTACGATCACGACCGGCGGCCGACGGCTTGCACCCCGTCACGGTTCGGTCAACCGGGGGGGGAGGGGGAGGGGGAGAGGGTAGGCCGTAGTCCTGGACCGTAAGTGGAAAGGGATGCGTCAACTGTTTTTTTTTTTTTTTTTTTTTTTTTTTGCAAAAATGGCCTCGAAAAATAAATAAAATATTTTCTTTTCTATCGCGTACGTCGAAAAAATGTACGTTCAAATTACACTTATATATATGTATGTGATTTTGCTGCATCGTCGTCAAAACGTATTTAAAAATGTGTATCATCGTTACGTTCGGTCGGCAAGCGAAAAGAGTTCACGCCGTTCCGAAAAACGGACCATATTTGCGATGTTTTCGAATAATTCTGATCGTCATTTGATTGGATACGATAATAAGATAGTCAAATCGAAACCATATCAACAATCGCGTTTTTCGTGTGAAATTTCTGTCGCGAGGATAGCAACACGAACGTTCTTCGTCTACGATTGCAGTAATTAATAATGTCAAATGACAATGAATATATAATGAACTAGGTAAGTTTTTTTTTATTTTTTGTTTATAAATTTATAGAAGTTTATATGCCTTAAAATCCACACGAATCTTCGTTGTTATTTGTCTTTCATAATTAAAAAGCCAAAACAATCTAGAAAGATATTAAAAAAAGGTCAATAACGGTTATACGGTGTATAAAATATCAACGATTAATTCAGATTTTACGAAGTTTTTTTTTTTTTTATCATTAATATTTACTAACAACGTGCTTTTATAGTTATGTTGTAAAATACGACGTAGAACTATCCATAAACTTAAGCACCAGATGGTTGTAACAATACAAGTACCCAATCATCAGATTAATATTTATCGTGAACTAAAAAATAATTATGCTCAAGAAAAATTAAAACTTTCAGCGTAACACTAGATACTTCTAAGTAATAGGTAATATATGTTTATAATATAAAATATATGTATAGACGTATAAACATAGAAAAAAAGAATAATTTTCTTACTATAATGCTTCTCAGCATAAGTATTTATTTTTAAGTTTTTTACTATAGTTAAAATGTTCCAAAGTTCCAAGCCACCGACTGTTACTAAGTTTAAACGATAACTGTAATGCTAAAAAAATGTTAATTTTATTTTTATTATTACAGAGTTAATATTAGCTCACAACGAGTGCTATAGCGATAATAACTTTTTCTCTTCCTCGTACTCGCAGTCGCAGATAAAAATGTACGTATAAGGGTATAAAATAAGTGTTATCAAATGCAAATTAATCATTTGCTCATAGGCTACGAACCCTTGTGAAAACATTGTTCATCAAATCTCCTACCTATTGAAATATCTCCTCGTCTCGGTTTATTCCCGCTGAAAAAGCTATAGCATCACAACCTCTTGTTACGCGATAAAAAACGTTTTCACTTCGGTATATTCAGACAGCGTGAAATATATGTTCAACTATTGCAAGTTGCCCACGCAGCTCGCGATCGATTAAAAAGTTAAGGGATATATATGAAACATAAAATCACCGAAATTATACGTGCAATGAACAGCCAAATGGGGTTGTTAGCGAGTAAATGATATAGCTATAGTGTTCAACAACAAAGCATATAATCTAGTATTTAATACAAGTGCTGAACAAAAAAGTTTTCGCACGTCCGCGAGTAAATTGTTGTAAAACATTAAATGGTGTTTTTGTCATTTTAAAAAATACCAACGCTTTACGCATCAGATTTATCGTTGTGCCGGCGGTGTAATTTACGTATATAATTAAATTCGCTGAGCGTTTTAATACAGTTTTTTCCAGTCATAACAATAATATTCTTATACGTAAAGGTATTGGTAACGATAGATAAACAAAGTGAACGCTTTTAGCGTTTTTTTTTTTTCCGTTGCGTAATAATTAGTCCGAGTGATGTATAAAATAAATAACAGAACTAACATTGATAAGGAAATGTCTATCGAAAATTTAAAAATAAAAAAAAAAAACTAATTACATAACCATTTCAGTAAGCAGGTATTGAAAATCACATATTTTTTTTTTTTTAAACATTTTTTATAAAGAATAAAATGGAAAAAACGTGTGCTCGCGTTACGTGTTCTTTAAGTTATTGTATTATCAATAGCAAGACTAGTATATATTTGTCGTGATCTTATTTTTTCCTCGAGCAAACGGTTTTCGTACCGAAACCGCACCGTGACAGCGACGACGTACACTCCTGATGCGCTTATACCTGTCGTCGAACACCCACCTAGAGTAATTATTTTTATTTATTTTTTAAAATCGTGTTACCGCATTACGTATAGAAATCGTTACGATTTTCGAAAATAATTTCAGTTCGTGAACAGTGTTTATTGTTGCTGTTGTTATTTACGAATGACGTCCGGAGTTCAGACATGAACATTAAAATGGTAGCTGACCGAATAATGAATATATATTAACGTCTTTCGCTGTTTTCCCTTAAGTCAAGGTTTCGAATCACGCGGAAAATATTTGTATCGAACGATCTGAAAAATAAATGGAATTATATTGCAAACGTAATGTAATGTTGTACGCTTTTGCACCTTAATCGCAGTTTTCTTCCACGATAATCTTTAAAACATTATTCGTGCATTTGATCCACATGAAAACTTTTACGAAACAACGTCTTTCTTAGGCGGAAATAGAAAAAGATATTCATTTTTTTCTCGTAGTTTTCATAAACGTAACGAAATATTGTCGAAAAAAGTAAAAAAAAAAAAAAAAAAGTGAACTAGAAAATAAAATTAAATATTAGCGTTTGTGTATTTTGTATAATATATCACCATTTATTTACATTTTAGTGGTTTCAGGTTTAACGGCTTGAAAATAGTACCTTTAGATATTTTATCTAAAAGTAGAAAACTTTTTTCTTACGGAGAGGTTTATCCGGAGTAAGAATAAATCAATACAAATGGAAACGATTCTGTTTAATTTTTTTTTTTATATTTTGAATAATGTATTTATTTTATATTTTAGATAATAATATTTCTGAATTTCGGGTTTCGTGATAAAATATATTTAATAAACAGAAATACGATGAGAATCAAAACAAAACCATTCACATTCAACATTTTCGAGTGGTTATTATGTTACCTACCAACTGATTTACTAATCACGCAGAGTTCAGATCGAACATTCGAAATTCAAAACAACGCATGGATTTGCAACGGTCTCCTTACATTTTTTAAATCACTATCGTTGGATTACACGATCATCAATAAGTGAAAACGATTTTTCTAATAAATTGCCCAATTAATTTAATTATAGAGTCATTTCGAACGAAGTTCTACATTAAAAATATGATCATGGATTTAATTTGAAAAATAATTCCAAATCGATTTAAAACGGTTAGTATTTGTGCGTAGTAAAATGTATAAAAATATTTTCATCTTATACTGTACAATATTGTAAAAGTATGTTTTTTCAAAATATTTATAATTTTTATCGATAATAAATACAGCACTCCCTCTGTAAACCCGAACTCGGTTAACACTAATTATTGAATAACGGGAATCGATTTTGCAGTCTCAAAAAAGGTCCTATATTTTAAGGTTGGAAGATTTTTATTTTTTTTTTCGTTGGTTTACACGAATTTTTTGGTTAACAGGAAAATCGAACAAATTTTAACAACAATATAGTCGTTTTGTTGATTGAAACGAACAGCAAAACATAATTTTAAACTTCGTTTTATACACTCGTATGCATAAGATTTAATTTTTACTACAATTAAACAATTTAATCGACGTCGTTTTATACGCTACATATGTTAATATTGATGTGTGCGATTCGGTTCGGTGCTAATCGCTCTCGTTCAAATCAATAACTCTATCGGTCAGTTTTAATATGGCTCTTTTGGTGATCTGTTGTATAAATCTGCAGTGTTAACCGAAATTGGTTTGAAAAGGAAGCGAATCTATTGATTTATCTATGCATCGATCTAAATTTTCAGCTCGTTTCGGTAGAAGTAGAAAGTGGTGAATCTAACCTAAAACAAAAATCGTTGAGAAACTTGGCATCCACAAATACTGTCAACGATTTTTAAAAATAAATACAAAATCAACGAAGCAACTTCACGAAGTTTGTTTCAAAAAATCGTGCGAAACGTCTACGGCGTAGAATTATTTCAAATTATGGGAGTATATTTATACAATCAAATGACCTCTATGTACATCTATATATATATAAATTATATACATAATTCACTTTGGTATGTAATCGATTGTATATTTTAATAAGCGTATTTGTTTTAATGTCCTCCGATATCGGGAATTCGTTCGTGCAAGTATAATTCGTTCGACGCAAACAAATCCATGTCAAGTGTATCGGATTACACAAAGTGATCTAACACGAGCCGGTTATTTTTCGGCTCCGTCGAGTTCGTGTTAACGAGAGACTACTGTAATATCTCTACTTCAGTTTTCATCATAAAGCAATTGTTATCTTTGGGAAAATGGTATCTAATTCCTTCCAATAAATCAAATACTAATGATACTAAATAGGGCACGGATGTTGTAGTAGTCAAAGAGAAGTAAAATTGGTTGCAGTAATGCATTAAAAAAATAACGAAAATTGCGCTTAAAATATTTGAAATTGTACTAAGAAAAAATCTTTTGTTACAATTTATGAGACTTCATTTAGTTTGCAAAATGTTTAAACTCTAAAATATATCTAAAAAATGAAGTAACTTAAAAAAAAAATGTATCACATTAAACTATAAGGATTTCTTTGAATTTTCAAACTCTAATGTTCTTTTTTTAAAAATATAAGGGAAGAACTCGGATTAATTTTCGGCATATTTACCAAAAACCAAAAAAAAAAAAAAAACGCCATCATATGAAATTCACAGATTGAATGTCGAATAATCACGTTCCACAAATTATCTTAATCCGTCAACCTAAGGTTAAAACTACGGCTACTACAGGATATTCTACTTGAAC